TTAAGTAGTTTTACTAGGTAGTAGCGCAAGAAAAATAACTTTTTGTTGTCTTGTTGTTTTGGTTTTGATGATCGTCGAAAAGAGTTGAATTGACCTTGTTTAGAACCTTTTATTGAATTTATTCATGAATTAGAAGGAGATATATTACTTTTTCAGTAGCATTTCTTAAATTACGCCAATTAGAAATGACAGTACATAATAATAATAATGTTCTAACTATAGTAATTTTCGAAAGTTTAAGATTAGTAGAACACTGCTAGAATAATTTTTTATACAACCTAGCAACTATGACAGCATACAAATTAGACCTATAGTATTGTGGAGAAATTTTAGATTCAAGAAAATAAGATACACCAATTGAATGAGAACTTATATGTCTTGCTAGTCTAGAAAATGAAGAACAAGTTTTGGAAGAACTTTCTGAATTTGTAGAAAAAACTAGTGGATTTTCAGCAAGTTATTTGTGGGGTTCAATAAAGGAAAAGCTATATAATTAGTGGAATTTGGTTAAAGCCTGATATCCAGTATTAAGTAATATAGCATTAATGCTACTTTCAATACTTGCAACATCAGCTGCTAGCAAACAGAACTGGTCATCTTTTAATTTTGTTCATTCTAAGTTATATAATCGCTTATATAATCCATATGTAGAAAAAATCATATATATATATTGGAATCTTCGAACTTTACGTTTATTAAAGTAGCTACTTTCAATTGAAGATTTAAGGAAAAAAGGCTATTTAATTGAAAATAATGCCGTTAGTTTAAAACTAAACGAAACTAAATTAATCGAAGAAAATAATGTAGATATTTTTTTATCTGATAGTTCATCACATATAGATATTATAGATTATACAGATAAAATTAGCGATATAGATATTATTGATAATGTAGATTATCTAGATGATATAGATGATATGAGCATTATAGATAATATAAGTAAAATAAATAATATAGATAGCAATGAACAAGTAGAGCAGTTTAATGAAGTGTAAGATTTTATATTGTAACAAAGCTCTATATTACTTTTAATAAATACTTTGCTACTTAGCAGATACGTTTAGAAAAAACTTTCGAATCTAATAAGAAATAAATTAATTCTAATCAGTAATATTAGGATAGTTCAGGTAATTATATAAATTTTTAAAAATTTCTTAAAATCAAAAACATAAAAGTGTAATATCATACTTTAAGTATACTTCTATCAACAATAATAGTAATCCTCGCTTCACTATTACAGTATCAAAATTTTTTAGATACCTTACTTTTATTCAGACCTGTATAGTAGTTATTTTTATAACTTTAATTACTCATTTAAGTACTACAGTAATAGCTACTATTAGTAGCATTAAACTTAAAACAAGATATTGTTTTATATCTCTCAAGATTAGTTAACGTAATGAAACAAATTAAAATCTGATTCACTAATTGAATCAATTGCTTAGATAACTAATTTATACTTGCAGTACTTTTTTAAGATTATAACACTTTACTGCCAAAAATTAAAAATTTAATCGTGTATAGTTTCAAAAGGATATTAATATTGTTGTGCAAAATAATCAAGATAATCAAAAACCTGAAGAACTTATATGATAAATACTTTATTATTTATATTATTTATCGCTATTATTAGACTATACTAGCTACATATAAATACTAAATATCAAAAACAATGCGATTAAAGATGTTTAATTTTAAATAAAAGCTTTATACTATGTTTAATTTATTACTTTAATATGTATCTTATATATTAATTTAATATTATAGAATTTGCTATAGTTTGGGTTAAGTAGCGATAGATAAATATAAGTGATGTTATTTATTAATAATGCGTGTCGTCTCTATTAAAGGTAGTGATAATGAAAAATAGAATAAAATTAATATTTAAAATGCATGTTAAATAAAAAGTAAAAATAAATTGTATATGAATATTAGATTTTTTTGATTAATTATTTTTTTTTTAATGTTGTCCAAAATTAATCTTAAAGCCGGCCTGCTTTAATATCTTATATTTGTAACTTACATAGAGTTACATAATTTACAATCTAACTTACAATATAAGTTACATTGTCAGGTAAGTTATCCTAACTCTAGACTGAATTAATATCAGCTAGCATTATGATAACTGTAGACTAGAGTTGGAATAACTTACCTAACAATGTAACTTATATTGTAAGTTATATTATAAGTTATATGATCTCATGTAAGTAACAAATATATATGATGTTAAAGCAGACCGATATTAAGAAATTATGACTAGCATTAAGATAAAATAGAAAAAAGAAAATTTTTAATTTTAGGCTAAAAGCTAAAGTGGCCAACTTTAAAATAATAGCTAGCATTAGATTAGTATAATATTAAGTAAGTTATATAAGTTACGTAAGTTAAAATCTAACTTACATAAGTTAGAATAACTTACTGTAAATTACCCAACCTTACTGTAGACCTTAAATCTAAGCCAAAATTAAAAAATAATCTGAACCAATTCTGCAAAATTCTGTGAACGCAGAAAATTATCATCCCTACTTCTATGCATAGAGTTGTATTACAAAAATCATAATCTTACATTACTTGTAATTTTATGTAAGTTTTAGTAAATTGAATTTCACGTAAGTTTGGTCACATGATATAAAGCACCAGGATTACATAAATTTGGCCTAGTTTTATTCACTAGATTTATTTGAATATCATTATATTTAAATATAAAATTGGATAATGAATTGCTGACTGTACATTTATTTAAATTATTTCAATTATACAATATAAAGATTTTGCAAACATATTAATTTGTTTTGCGATTATTTTTACTCCGTAAAAAATTAGATAGCAAAGTAAGTAAAGAATTCTGAATGATAAACAAAATAAAGAACGAGGTTGGATAATACAGTAGCAATAAAAAAATAATGGTTTCGAGAAATACAGTAAAAATCAAAGAAAAAAAAATTTTTTTTTTAAGTAGCAATTGAGTAATCAAATTCATCATACTAACATATTAAGAAGATTGTTAGAAAAATTTGCAAGATTATCTTCTTTCACATCGTCACCTGAATTACTTAGTTCTTGGTTGTCTAAATTATTAATGTTAATATTATGAGTTTCATTATTTTGTAGATTCATAATTAAAATAGGTCTTTTTAATTGACGAAGAATTCGAGTATTCCAATATATATAAACAAGTTTTTCTACTTTTTTAGAAAGTAGTCTATTACATAATTTGGAATGAATAAACCTATAAGCAAACCAATTGCGCTCATTAGATACTGAAGTTGCTAGAATAGATAAGATTTTTTGTGTAACTTGTTATTGTTGAATTTCGCAAAAAACATATATTCGAATGCTTCTGTAATCTTGTTGCATTTTTCGCTACTTCCTTACTGCATGCTTTGCATTTGTAATGTTCTTTTCTCTTTTCGTCTATTCACATAGTATATTGATCCCACATTTCAACTTTCTTTTTTTTAACTATTTTTAGTTATCATTATAAAATTTTTAGCATCGATTTTATTTTATTTTATATTTTAAAAACTATGCTTTGTATGACAAAAATAATTAAGTGAATGAATAATTATGTATTCAATATTGTGTAATCAAAATTATGCCAAAATTCAGTAATTAGCGAATGAAAAATTTAGTAAACTTTACATATCATGTGATCTAGAAGCGACTATTCTCAGTTATACAAAATGCAGATTACTTCTGAAATTCTCCAGCCAATCAAGATTTAATATCACATGCCAATCAGCCAATCACAGTTGATAAAAAAAATTTTGTGCATTTTTTGTACTTTTTGAGAGGCTCGTATACCCTATTTATTCTATAAAACATGATCAAGCACTAAGCAAACTTAAAGTTTTCATGCTGTATTTTCGTAATATCAGTTGAATCTACTTGAATTCACTAACTTTTATATTAAGATTTATCTAGTAAAAACATGTCTAAAAGTAATAAGTGCGTCGAATATCCAGCTACTAAGTCATCCAGATTCTGTTCATTAGATGGAAAAAAGTAGGAAGATACTAAAAATAATAGTTTAGTGAAAGCAATCTGGAAGAAAAGTATCATTTTATGTAATCCCTGTTACATGAATCTTGTAGAAAACCTTTTAAGCAGAGGCCCTAAAAGAGTAAGAATCATAGAAAACTTAGAAAAAGCTATAGTTGAGGAAGAGGTAAGTATAATAAATGAAGATGCAAATATGAAGATTGAACTTATTGAAGCTATTAAAAGAATGGCAAAAGATTTTATAATAGAGAATATATAACAAAAGAAAGCTCTATTTATTCATTTGATGAAATGCGAAAATTATTTGAAACAACTGATCCAATTTTGTTAGATTTTCTTGACCAACTTTATTCTGCAGGTCATCTACAAAAACATAATAAGCAAATAATGGGCTGTATAAAAAAATTAATAGTATTAATATGTTATTTTCTTGCTTTGTTGAATAATTCAAAAGTTAATGCCTTTAAGCTTAATCTTGCTTATTATTTAGATTCAGTGGGTATAACAAATAAGGGTCTAAACATGATAGCAAATATTAGCATATCTACAACAGCAAGAACTGTAGAATATAGAAAGAAACAAATATAGAAATTCTATATTTTTACATGTATGACCAAACTTCAAATAAACAATATTAGCTATATCCAACTATGCTGCATATACGATATGAAGAATTAAATCGATTCTTCATGACTATGGAGTTTTACTAAGATCCTTACCTGTTTCAAATATACCCTTATAGATTTTATTGAAAAAAAATGAATTTTTTTTAAATACAAGTTCGCGAGTATTTAGAGATATATGAAGAGGACCTATAATAGGCAAAAAAGCAGTCACAAATGAAGGAATGGTTATTTTGTTAGCAAGGATCTGTTTTGCAATAGCTTCACGAATAAAAAATTGTCCAGGCCAGTTCGCGATGATAGAAATTGTGTGATTAAAAAAATACATTTGTATCAGTTCATGATTACAAAGAATTTGGAGAGCTTTCAAATAATCATCAGTTTTTTTTAAATTGCCTGCAACAAAATCAACAAGAATAGTATTCTTAAGATGGCGTTCACTTTTTCTCTCTTCTAATCTGTTATTATAACTATGTAATGTTAGTCTATCTAAGAGTTTATCATCAGTGGGTTCTTTTTCTACATTCCAAATATGACTGCGATTATGATAAGAAATCCTCAAGTTTACAATAAATCGCTCATCGAGATATTTAATAATCAATTCATTATCAACGATCTTTGAATTGATTATTCCATTACATAGTATTGTTAGTGTAAAATATGGATTTACTAAAATAGATACCATATGTGTTGGCTGAGATGTCTCTGTAGTTTCAGTTTGCCTTGGAACATGAATGTTATGATAATTGTCAATATTCAATACAAAAGCATTTTCTAAATGCTTCATAAAAGTGTTCTCTATGTATTTTTCATGTACATCTGATGTTTGTTTCTTTCTGCGTTCTACAGTTCTTGCTGTTGTAGATACGCCAAGATTTGCCATCGTGTTTAGGCTCTCATTGGTTGTGCCTACTGAATCTAAATAATAAGAAAGATTAAGTTTAAAAGCGTTAACTTTTGTATTATTTAAAGAACCAAGAAGATAACATATTAACACCATTAATTTTTTTATACGGTCTATTGTTTGCTTATTATATTCAAGTGGCCAAGCTGCAGAATAAAGTTGTTCAAAAAAATCTTTTAATGTTGGGTTAGTTTCTTGAAATAATTTTCGTATTTCATCAAATACGTAAATAGGATCTTCATTTTTTATATGCTCCCTTTCATAAAGAATTTTTGCTATCGACTTGATAGCTTTAGTGAGGTCAACCTTCGTATGTCCCTCTTCTAATACACTTGCTTCATCTACTATACCTCTTTATCTTTTTTAATAATTATTTTCTTGATTATTCTGTGCCAATTCCTAGTTACTGTGATCACTTTAGTACTTATTTCTGTAATTCTAGAAATGAGATCATCTATTTGCTCTC